TATATACAACAGTCTCCAGCAACAGTTCAGGTGTTTAATCATAACTCCTACACAGAGGTGTGATATGCAGTAATTAGTTAATTTTCTTAATATTCTCCATATGTAAGGGAAGTTCAGATCTGCTTTTGGTGACTGTGGATTAATACTGACATTGTAAAAACAATTCCCATGTCCAAAAGAGCACAAAGCACTTAAAAAAGAGGTAGTAGTCTCTCGTACACCATTAACATTTTTGCATCATCAGTCAGGGATCCTCTTCACAATCACATGTAGGAGACAAGAAGAAATTAAGGGACCTGTTGTTCTCAGATGTGATAGCTCAGTTACAGTGCAACAGTAGCAACTGCATGGGAGCCAGCAGGCACTGATCTTTCCCCTTGCATGCTTAATTGACTGCCCATGTCCAGGACCAGGAGATCAAATTTACCCCATTCTTTCCAGAATCAAAACTTTCCTTGATGCCTTCTGACTCGAAACATCAACTCTGCTAACAGTACCAATCTTTACTATGTGCCAGGCTTCACGCATACCTCCATTTTTACTGTCTAGCTTTAAATCTGATCCCTTTTACCCTATACCTCTTCTATGCCTTTACCCAATGTCTTACTCTTTTCTAAGACTATCATATATTTCTGATGTTGATATTCTTAGGACTCCCTGGTACACTGACCACCCAACCCAGCCCTGCTTGCCCTGAGATGCAGTGGCAAAAGCCACTGAAGCTCTGCTGTGGGCTCCTTCTCCACCCCCGGTTCCCTGACGCAGGTGGTATGTCTTACTGTTCTTGGGCAAATTAACATTTAGGAAGTTTCATCTGTTGACGAAGAACCCATTGCACAGGTATTATTTACAGGAAAAACCATACCTACTCCAAAAGATGAAAGAAGCAAGATTAATACCTTACAGGACAATATTCACACACCTTGCTTTCTCATTCCTGAGCATGGTTCCTCAACATACATCCTTCTTCCAAAGTTACTTATACATCCAAAATGTGTGACTTACTTAGGATTTCAGTATTGTAGGCCAGTCCTTAAATTGCTAGTTATACCAAATTATTTTATGTTATCTTACGGTGTTCTTCATGACATTTCAGTTTATGCATTTTTGTCACATCCACCATGGCTGAAGTCTTTGTATATTACAGGAATAATAACTGCAGTGGTAGAAAAAAGGACAACATTTTATGGAAGCAAAAAGGGAAACCAGCCATGAATAGGTTAAAATGAGTTAAGAAATATTACGTTTGGGTTGTGAAACTGGGAGAGAAGAAGAAATGTCAGGGTATAGACATGGATCTCTGGTTTAGAAATCACTAGAGAGAAGTAACATTTAGAAGGTCCTGGTAGCAGGTTTGTGTTAGAGATTAACACTTATCATGACTTTGGATATGGTAAAGAAAAAATAGAAACAACAATCCTGCCCATGGCTATCTCTATTCTGACCCATACTGTGTTAACAAAATATATATGAACAGAAAAACATAGATATGTGCAGGGAAGGAGTAGAGATGAAGAGAAATCAGAATAAAAAGAAACAGCATATTTTAAAGCCACAAATGTGAAATAACAAAAGGGGAAAGAGAAACCAGTGCTCTCTTAAAACAAAGGTTTTGACAAAAAAGGCTTGTTACTGGAACAGGCAAAGTGACCTTTTTGGTTATATCTCAGGAACAATTAATGAAAAATAGGAGTGTGTGATTTTTTCTCGTTGTATTCAGAAATGTTAAAAGTTAGTGTCACTAATAAAGAGGTAAACAGTATACAAAGGTGCTATTTTATCACAGCCAAACCATGAGGAGAAACAGAGGTCAGCAGAACTTTAAAAGGCAGATATGACTGACTTTAATTTGCTTTCAAAAACATGGTCACTGACCCTTTAAATCACAAGCCAATTACAAGCATTGTAATGCCATTACTAATTACATGCTGAGAGTGTAAATTTAAAATGGCAATTTCAATTTTCAGTTCATTGGTACAATGTGGGAAAATGAAATTTCATACTAATTAGTTCATGTGTGTCAGGCACCTGAATGATTAGAGAAAAAAACTCTGCACTCATTACAAGTGAGTTATAAGCAAAGCACTCAAACCTTTCATTTTCCAAGCTGCATATACATAAAGAAATTAAATGACAAAGGAAATTGATAATGATGGAACAAGGCAAAAATAGCTACAGGCCTGTACATAATTATACTTTGGGGGACTTTGCCCATTATATACAGCTTCCTTTAAAATTTATCTAGCATTAGCAACTATAAGAGGGTTACAGGCTGCTGCTTCAGGTTCATTGTGCTAAAGGTTAATTTACATTTCCTAAAAATGGAGTTTCAGGTTTCATAACTTTCCACTTAATCTCTGCCAAACGTTCATGCCGTTCTTCAGGACCCATCTTCCGGACCAGCTGCTTTGTCACTCAGACCAACATAGAAAAGGTCCCATACACAGACATCTCACATCAGGATCTGGGAAGAAGGTGGTGATATGATCAAGAAAGTAAAAATTCAGAGTAGGCTGTTGTGACAGGAAGCATTTCTCCCACCAGACCAGAAGGAAGGTAGCCAGAAACTTAGCACAAATTAGAGTGGGCTGACTTTTTGTAACCTTCCACAAATGCTTATGAAGTATCTTCCTGGTCGTTACAGAAGCTGTGCAAAAATAAGATATGGGATTTCTGCTGCTCCTCTTCTTATTACAGAAACTATTCAACCATAGAAGGGTCAGGCAGTGTCTCTTAGAGTGTATTTCATGCTTCAGGAACAACATAGTGTTCTGATGTAAAGAACTACGATGCAGTGTATAAAGGGTGAGTTTGTGGAGTTCTGTATCCTTGCCAAATCAACACAAGGATTCTGCAGAACACTAAAAAGCAGATTTTCTATATGAGTATCATTTTCTATACAAGTATGGAAAAATTCAGGTTTTCTGTTCCTGTGTGTTTTAAGGAGAAAAGTCTTTGGAAAGATTTAAACTTCTGTTTTTAAATTACTAGTATTTTTATTTTTGCTCTAAACTAAAAGGAAAAATAAAATACTTAGCAAGTTTTGTGAAAATTATAGACCAAAGTCTATTTTAGAAGAAAAATGAGAAGAAAAAGAAGGGAGTGCTAGGTGCTTAGTACACATTAATCAATCACTTAATTAGCTTCTAGAAAGTCCTTATATAGTATGGCTGTCAAAATTACACAATAACCTGCATGGGACTGGCGCTACATATATTAGGTCATTAACTCCGAAAAACAACAAATTGTTCAAAACTGGTGCCATGGGCCGACATTTGTAGACACGTTTTCTCCGTTGGTCCTTCCAGGTAAGAGCAAAGGGAAGACTTCCCTGGGAGCAAAGTCCAAGGCAGACATAACGCTGGTCTGGGCAGAAATCTGCACAGCTGCCTGACAGTGGCCTCCACAGTAGGTGGTGGCTTTGTCAAGTGCAAATGTGGAACCAGCAGACCAATAGCCATCCCCATCCAGTCTACCTCCTAATAAAGACATGTCTAGGGGGTCAGTGCTAAATGATTTTGAATTTTTTCTCCAGCTTACTTAATAAAGCCCATACTCTACAGCAGCCCAAAAGCTACTGTAACACTGACTTTTTGATTGTCCCTTAAAGTTACATTAGCTTTCTACTCCTGTGAAAGTAATTCTGCTCAAGTCCCTTAACATCATTCTTTCCAGTTCTTTTCCAATGTACAAATTTTACAGACTTCCTAACCCCTCTGGTCTTTATGGAAGAAAACGGACTTAAGATATATTGAAGGGCCTTTGCGTTTTCAGTCTGCAGTGAATAACAAACAGTAACACTGACTTCATTTTTCAGAACTGACAAAATCCAGCACTCTCACCACACCAGTTTCAGAAAACTTCATCAAACAGTGCTTTGTGCCTGCTCTCCAAACAAGAAAAATGAATAGGTAACCCTGTATGCTTTTCCTCCACATATCTGGGAGCCACTCAGAAAAATCACGAATGCTAGTCAGCACAGAAACTTGAATACGAATAAAAATTATGCTATGTACACAAAGGTAACTTCAAGAAGAGTGTTTCTGACACACCCAAGGGACACATGCACCGTTCTACTTACTCAGCGCTGGTAGACAAGATGCTTAAGTACCATCTTCTGCTATTGCTGTGGTGGATTCACTGGGAGCGAAGCACCCTCTTTGCATACCGACTATACTCATTAGTGCAAAAGATTTTCCTTTGGCTGAAAATGCCAGAGCTTAGCCCAATTCACATATCATGAAAAGAAAATATCATAAAAGTAAAGAGCTACAGCAATCACTAGATAATCATTATCCTCATTAAAATACAGCCACAGGACTTCATATTCACTGCTTCATGACTTTTACTGAAGTTATTTGCGGGGCACAGAGAAATCCAGTCCACAATGAGGGCACTGCCATTTGAATCATTCTAGTGATAACATCCTTACATGGGAATGAAAAAGAGTGTATTTTCAGCCCCACAGATGTGGTTGAGCCAAGAGCTATTTCGGCCTTTATTAAAACAGCTCTTGTTACTTCCACCATGATGCACACAATGCTAAACCTGTGTGCCCAGAGCAGCTCAGCAGAGAGAACAACTATTCCTGCAGGCTGTGGTACAGCCAATACCACATCAGAGCACTCTAGAATGATGCCCAAGGAAGGCTGCATGTGTCAAAGTACCTCTACCAAGAGATATTGCTGCGAGATGCTACTAAGGACCTAACAAGCAAGTGTAACATATGTGGAAAGCAGCTTACTTAAAAAGTCTTTATAGATTTGCTTCCATGGTTTAGAGCCACAATGGAACATATGCACACATTTAAAAAAAAAAAAAGTGCATTTGTATAGTCAAGATTATTACTGTTTTGCAACTAAATAGTCCTTTTTAGTCTAGGCTACATTTCTGACAGTGAGTAAGAATCTAGCTGTTTACCACTTGTCTTCTTCAGTTTCTTAACCGACTCTGGCAATTGAATCTAGGAGACTTTTTTCCTCCTCAACTCCATCTGTTACCTGAATCCACGGCCATCTGTCATTTTCTGCAGCAGTCCAAGCGTTCACAAGACCCTTCTTATTAAGTCGTGCATAGTACGGATACCATTTCTGGAGTCCAAAAAGAGCTCGATGAGTGGATGACGCAGTAATTTGTTGGTTTGACACAATTCCTCCTTCTATCCCTAGTGGGCCAGAGCATCCTGCAAATGGAAGCAAGCAAAGAAATGAGTGCAACTGAAATGACCAACTCAGTTCTGAGTCTGAGTGGCTGTAATTACAAATAGCATACAAATAGATCCAAAATATCACATCAAATATGTTATTAGAAGAGATTTAAAGCACTTGAATAGCATCTTCTTTTTCCAGAAATGAAAAAAAAGTACTGAAATATTGCTTGTAAATAACTACTCCCATCACAAAACTAATGAGTAGATTAAGCTTTCAATTTCTTTTAGTATGTTCTGTCTGAAGAGTTCTGAGTTCGGGTTTTACAGATAGAAAGAAAATGATCTTTAGATTCAAATATTGAAATGATTGCTAAAAGAAAATTTTAAATTCTGTAGTTACTGCAAAGTTCCGTGTTGCTGCTCTTGCCACAGAGGTTAGCATCTAGCCAATACACTACAAACTGTTATTGCAGTTATCTTTAGAAATATGAAACTAGACACAAGGTATTGTTCAGTTCTATTAAAATTAGTTAAAGGTCTTCTGCATTTAATCAGCAAGCCACAAAGTATGTATTTAACTGTAATGTTCAAGTGTTCATGATTTTATGTGTGGTATTGCTAGCTTATTCATGTGAAATACTTGTAGATGTAATCTTTTATAAAGTTAAGATATTTCTGCATACATTGTTTTCTCACGCACTCCATTTGGGTACAGGAACAAGACCATCCAGTTACTGTGAGCAATCTGAACAGAGAAAATTTTGAAAATTCATTATATACAAAAGATTGGCAGTTTACCTACTATTAAATACCCCCAACCACCTTCAAGTAAACTAGATTTTTTTTCTCAACTCAGTTCTGATGCAGAATATAAACAGAAGCTGAATGCAGCAACTACTGTAGCAGCCAGTCTTACTCAGTTGCCCAAAAGATCTGCTTTGTGGGTAAGCTGCACTTCAGCAATTTTTAACACAAAAGGACAGACATTTTCTTATGCTTTAGGTTTTCTCAGAAGCCTGGCAGTCTCACCTCAAGGAGTACCCAGGAATGAACTCTGAAATGGTGCTGCTATGAAATCCTTACATCACATGAACAGAAAGTCACAAATAATTTAATTCCCCATTAATTTAAAAGTACGGAGAAGAAAAAGTGACCAGTGCAATTTGCTCCTCTTGGGAGAAGCTAAGGCAAGGAGACAGCACTGGGAGTCACTGGCAATACAATCCCCAGGTATTTTGTGTCACTGATAATGGAGACAGATATAAACTAAATTGCAGTTTTAAGTTGATTATGGAGCAAAGGCCATGGACAAGCATATGCTTGCACTCTGCAGGTGGGGTTCCAAATGTGTTCTGTCTTAAATACAAAAATTGGCTTACTTCTAGGATATGCTTAAACAAAATCTTGGCCCCACTGAAATTAATAACTGACTTGCACCATATGATGATTTCATCCACACTTCTAGAAGTACATGAAGCTCGGCTAGTATCTAAAGTCCTAGTGCTACTTTTCTGTGTCATGTATCACCCAACAATAAAGGCGGTGTATTCAGCACTCGACTAATAACTCTGTTCATGCTGCACAAAAAATAACAAAATGCAGCTCTCTCCTGTGGCTGTGCTGGGTGTGTAGTAGTGTCAGAAGAAAAACAAATTCTTTGTCACCAGCATAGGCAGGCACAATATAGGATGTATTAAAAAAACCCACGTATGTTGGAAAACTGTCATTTTTCATTGTGTTATCAAGCATTACTTAAAACTTGAAAGACTTATTCAAATCTTCGCTCTGTTTCTGATATATTTTCATCTAATCAGAATAAATTCCTTTTGTATATAAGCTGCCATAACAGCTTGCAAGCCAGAGGTAAACTACTCTACTTCCCTAAGAAAATTGCATCTTTTCAAAAGTTTCTTATATTTACTTATTAAAATACTTTTGCAGTTTCATAATGGGAAAGAAAGTGCACACAGTTGTGTCTATATGTATGTGTAACACACAGACACACACAGGTACACACAGGATTCATTCCAGCTCACCATGAAATTAATCACCCCTAACAGCTGGTATAGATTGATAAGTATTTGAAAACAGAGATGTGAGAACACAGAAGAGAGGTTTCCAAGAGGAGATGAAAATGGAGGTGTGGAGGCATGGCAGGTGTTTCAGTATGGACACAGAGCATACAGCTATATTCTGTATGTACATTCTCCTCTCTCAGTGAGGAGCACAGGGATGAGGACAGCTGCCAGCCCTGCTAGCATTGTTCAGTCACTTAATGGGATAAATGTGTGCATGAGGACAGAGCCCCAACATGTTTCAAGGCTAATTTTGAGTGAGGTCCAGAATAAGGGTATTTGGCTTTAGCAGATAATTTTCAAAAGAAGAACACATGTTTGATGAGAAGACTCTTGATCTCCTATATACATTCCAGCTTTGGCAGACTTGGAATAGAGGTGGACGTCCTTTTCTGTTGCTTATCAGCCTCTGTTTAAGGTGCAGAACTTTGTGGAATGTTTTGATGTGAAAGCATGTTAGTTCTCACGCTTGAAATGCCTTAAATGGTATTTGAAATATATGTGATTTTCTAACAAGAGAAAGGTGAGCTTTCATTTCTAAGTTGAAGGCAGTCAAATTACCAAGTAGAGCACTTAACTCTACCTCATCAGCTATGACCATATATGGTCAGAAGTCTTTATCTGCCTTAGCTTTAGGAGGATTATTCCTGAAATCCAAAGGAAATCTTTACCTTCAGGGAATAGGTACTTCATTGTACAAGTTTCTTATTCTAATTGCAGTTTTAGTCTTGATTTGTCCTGTTTGTCAATTTTTAAATGTGAGTTAAAAAACGAAATTTACCACTCCTAAAAACTAAAACTACCACATTAGAGATACTTTCTACTTTGGTGTTCAGTTCAAGCATAACAACATGAGATGTGTAGGAAATATGAGACTGGACAATGATGTCTAAAAAATATTAGCCTTACATTGTAATAATTATGTACACACCACTAAGGTCTGTCTTTAGAGGGCCATTTGACCTTTATTGATGGTCAAAGAAAGCGTACCCCTGCTCATGAGCGAGACCGGCAAACTGGTAACAGCAGATGAGGAGAAAGCTGAGGTACTCAACAACTTTTTTGCCTCAGTCTTCATTGGCAACCTCTCTCCTCACCCCTCCCGAGTCGATGGATAGCATGAAGGAGACCAGGAGGGTAAAATCCCTCCAGCTGTAAGTGAAGACCAGGTTCGGGACCTCCTGAGGAACCTAAATGTACAGAAGTCTATGGGACCTGATGAAATGCATCCCAGAGTCCTGAGGGAACTGGCTGATGTAGTTGCCAAGCCACTCTCCATGACAT